TCTTTTTTTTTCCCCCTATGTTGTTCTATTTGTGTGTTCTCCAACATTGTGCTTTCAAGCTCACTGGTTATCTTCATTGCTTTTGTTTGTTCATTGTTGAGGCCTTCAATTGTATTTTTAAATTCAGTTATCATATTTCTTAGCTCCATTACTGCTAATTTAACTGCCTTACCTTTTCTTTATCTGTTGCTGTTTTATATCCCGTTGTTTTTTGAACTCCTGTTCAGTCATGTTCTACAATTTTGCTGTATTGAGAATCATCTCAGGATTGCTTTTCATTTATTTAATTTTGCTCCAGCATTTGTGTTATATTATTCTGTCTTCAATTTTAGTTTGTATGGGTTGTAAGAGAGAGAAAGTATATAGACTGTTGCCTGTTGACGTAATAGGAGACCCAGTACTGGCAAGAGTTAGAAGGTATAAAAGAGGGCCAAGACTATAGGGCTCTAAAGGGCCACTCTAAAGAGCGTCAGGGATTCAAGTTTCCCACTGTTCTGTGGGAACAAGACTTGTTGGTGGAGACGCACAAGGATCCCCTTTTCTAGGCCAGTTCTTGGTCTTATTGTCTCTTATAGTTTCATGTCTACTTCCATCGTTAGAGGACTACATGCAGTGATGGGCACGGAATACAGTTGATGTAGGGTCACAGCTGGGAGTTGTACTTGTTTCTTTTCCAGCACAGAATCTTATCCTGGTATACTTGCTTCAGTTCTTAAGAGGTGCTGAAACTCTGGTTTATGCAAGTGTTCATTTATTGTTTAGCCTGGGGTGGGGAAGGGGACAGGAGGCTGGCGGGTGTTTTGAATATCCTAGCCTTGGCTTTGAGTATTAGCCTCCTCTATGAGGAAAAACAGGTGATCTGAACTCATCTGTTCCTCCCTGATAATTCAGGCCCCAGCTGTTTAATATTGAGAGCCTCCGGCTCAAACCAGATATCCTTGTTCTGCAACCCCCACTCCTGTACCTCTCCAACAGTGCACCCTCTGTTCTGAGCACCAATTCTGCATGCTGGGCCTGATGCTTGCATGTCCTGAATCCAACTGCAGGGGACTCTCTGCCCAGCAGTCACCCCTCTCTTACAGGTTGTACTACCCCATTATCACTATAAAGCATCCATGAAGTTACTCCTACCCCTTTCCTACCTCATACTACGAAATGTTCGAAGCTAGGATGACCTTTCAAAAGTCCTACATCAAGACAGGGGAGCTGAGTCTTTGTAACTGAGTTAAACAGTCACTGGTTGTGGCATGACCCTGGAGAAGGTAAAAGCTTGAAGGAGGACATGCTTTCCTGCCCGGCGCTATACTCAGAGAGGGACTCAGATATAGGTTAGCTGCAGCTATTGGAAGTTTGGCTAACAGCCTTATTTCTGAAAGTAAGGGGGAAGATGCCTTATACACATCAGATTATAATTCATATATTGTAAGTTTCATACATTATTATTTTTTTTCTGCCCCCCCTACATCTCCTGTATATTTGCATTAATATTATAAATGGCACAGAACTTAAAGCATTCCTGGTCCTTAACTGTGTGCTCTTGGATCAAAAATACAGCAGGTTTCACATCTCTCCTGCCTGCCTGTGGTTATGCAGGCTTTTCACAAAACTTTTACCTTTGCAAAGCAGCAGCAGCAGCTCTTTAACCACCTGTGTGTATGCAGGTATCTTTCTTTCTCCTTTTCCTAATAAACCTGTCATTTTTAAAATGTAAAAAAAGAAAAAAGCTATGGTAGGTTTACATCATTGTTACATTAGTAACTGTAAACAGTCCAGTAATAAGTTGAATGTGTTCTGTCCTTTTACAGGAGTGAATAAACAAAGATCATTTTAAGTACTGTAGGTATTGGGGCACAATGCTTGCAGTTGTTCTGCCTCCTGCTGTCCTTTTGACTCTGGTATCAAGATAAAAATCACTATTGACTTTCGCAGTCAGAGCTAATAGAAGCAACTTGTTTTTTAAGCAAGATAAGTTTGTCTACATATGACTGTTAGTGACAGATCCATGTTAGTTCATTGATTTAAAATAAGGGCAATTGAATTTATCCATGATTTCCACTGATCCCATGAATGCTCTTTAATTGCTAACATAGATTTGCTTAAAGGTTTTAGTAATGCTGAAAGTAAATCTTTTAAGTAGATCAACCAGGAAAATAGAAATTTAAAAATTGAGTAAAAAAATGTTGGTTGAATTCGTAATGGTTAACTATCCGGTTTCTTAAGTAGTATTGAAAAACAAAGTTTAAAAATCATTCTTATATTTTATATGAAAATATGTATATATATGGTATAAATACACTTTAATCCTTTAATATAATTGTATTCTAGTAAAACTGGAAAATAAACTGAGTTCAGTAAAGGTCTTTTATACTGATAGGAGGGGGTCAAACTTTCTCAGATTCACTTGGCATTAAATGAAAGTTATGAGGAAGAAAATATCCAGATCAGTTAAGATGTTCTAGTGCCATCAGGCACAGAGCCGTCTCACTATGGATTCAGGCAGACAGATAAAGAAGAGTCCCTGAGCCCTGAGTGGGCTTTTCAGGCTTTATGCTCTCTCCATTACCCAGGCACGCATGCAGGAAGACTGGCATGCAAGAAGGCAGGCATGGGCCTGGCATGGAGGCTGGAAGGGAGGCAGGCAGGCAACTAAGCTTCCCGTCCCCTATGAAACTTTACTCTTTGGCCTCTCTGGCATTGTCTTGTGGTCTTCCCTCTTTTGCAGCCACTCTGCTCATCCTCTTGAAGCTGTCCTTTTGCAACCATCCCTATACATCTGGCCTCTAGGCTCAGGAGTACACACTTACACATGCCCACACCCCTACTCCAAGTGTCCACTATCAGGCCTGCATGCCCCTTGCCCATGCTCCCAAACACCTTCTGCATCAACACAATCAAGCCATGGGTGATAGCCACTAGTGGCATAAAAAACTGATTAATTCACTTACCCTACAGATGTATTAAAGTCAGCATAATTCTGACATTATTTTATCTCTATTGATTTCTTTTTGCTATCGTTAACATTTAGAAATGTATAAATAGTTTGTATTTTATAGTATGTCAATTGCTTATCTCCTCTAAGTAAAATCTAGGTAATACAATTCATGAAATTGAATGAAAATGCTTCCTAAAAGCAGAGACTTTGATTTGTATACCTAGCACCCAGAAGTTTCTTGCATATAGTTGTAGGTGGCAATAGATATTTGATGACTAAATAAAGGATGAGTGCTGAAATCAGCTACAGATGGAACAATACACTGAAATATCTCACAAGGTTTAGGTCACAGAAGTGATTGTGAAAGTTTGACGCCAAGGTGGCTAATGAGATAGATGATTAAAAACTAAGTTCATGGGACTAAAATGATCACCAGGAAGATTCAAGGCATAGGATTTTTTTTTCTTTTTTTCAAGGATAGAAAACCCTAGCCTGAGTCAGCTCAGTAAATCCAGTCCTCAAGATAGAGCTTTTGATTTTTTTTTAAGCCCCTAACTTTTACATCCAAAATTATTTCTTAACATTGAAGGCAGATTTCTTCTCTGTCTGGGCAGGGTATCTCACTGTTGGAATCCCTGCAGTGCCCTTTTGGATTTCCACTGCTAGGATTCAAGCCTCTTCTTGCCATTCTGCCCCCTCATGATATACCTTCCAGCAACATCATATATATATATGATCTCTGTAACACTGAAGAATGCCCAATGCTGGCCAAAAGTCTTGTGAGAAAATGCTATAAAATCTATCCTTATTATTTTTTTTTTTTCACCACCTACGTTAGCCCTGATCCACTTCTGTGAAACCTTCCTGATCCCCCTGAGCAGTTTCAGGTTCTCCTTCTGATGCACATTGAACATGCTATGGCAACTGACATATTGTACATTGCAGACATGTGCCTTCCTCCCTACAGATTCATGATCCTTGAGGTCCAAGTGTCTCTATTATTAATGTATAACTTGACATAATTGCTTCTTGGTAAGTATTCATTAAAGGTTATTCTGGCTTACTGGTTCTCTGGAGGGTTTATGTTCTTCAACATACCTGCCAGAATGATGAGGGAATATTGGACATGTCCAAACTATCCTCAAGATGATATATGTTAACCAACACTTACAGAAGTCAATTAAATAATTTTTTTCCCATTGAAACACTTCATTAACATCTTCCAGATCATCTTTCCTCACTATCTCATATAACTCACTTTTCATTATTTTAGGTTGAGAGTAAATATGAAATTACTAATAATCAACTATTTTTTACCTAGGAAGTCCAGCAGAGTAATATGCCCCACCCTAATGGCATCAGGGAAGATAGAAGGTATGAACCTGTCAATGCATCCTTAATCTTCCTGTGAACTTTTGTCATCTTTTGACATACAGACTCTTCCTCCATGAATGGAACAGTTTCTCAGAATGAATGGAATGTGACTCAGATTTCCCTGGGTTCTTTACACCAAGAGTATTATTTGGGGTTTCTCCTAAACGTAGAATATCAGTAGCGTACCAAGATTACAAGTAGGGAAGAGGAAGATAAAACATTTTAAAACAAGGAGAAATGCAGATTATCACTTGATGGATTTTTTTTAAGATGTAGAGAACTTGATGTTCCTGCTCCTAATCTAGTGAATACATGGGAGAAATATGAATTAATATTGTGACATTAAGATATTGTTTAAAAAGCAAAAGAATGGGAAAGTGTGTGTGTTTAAATTTTCTATTTTATAACTGGGCAATTACAAAGTTTTACAGTGAGTTTTACTAGTACAAAAGGAGAAAGGAAGAAGTCAAGTAAGAATATTTTCATTTAAAAAAATAATCTATACCATAGAATATTACTTAGTAATAAATAGGAACAAAGTAATGACACATGCATCAACCTGGATAATTCTAGAGAATTATGTTGAGTGAAAAAAAGCCAACACCAAAGGGTTACGTACTATATTATTCCTTGTATATAATATTTTAAATTAACAAAATTATAGAAATGGAAGAATAATCAGTGGTTGCCAGTATTTAAGAAAGGTTTATTGGAGGAAAAGTGGGTGTGGTTAGAAAAAGGCAACCTGAGTAATCTTGGCTCCTTGGATCGCTGATAGAAATGTTCTAGAACTTGACAAAATCCTGGTTGTTGTATTATCATATTACAAGATGTTACTGTTGGGATATCTGTGTAAAGAGCACACAGGAAAGTCTGTTATTTAGGGATTCTGTGTAATATTTCTTTTTTTTTTTAAAGATTTATTTTATTTTATTTTATTTATTTATACAAGCACTGGGTACAGTCAGAAGCGCGGGAGGGTGAGAGAATTCACCAGAGCCAGAGCGGGAAGCAAAGCAGGCAGAAGGACCGAAGCACACTGCTGAGGGGAGAGCAGGTGGCAGGAGAGGTCTGGGCGCCATGTGGGACCCCCCTCTGGTGGCCGGGGAGCAGCCGGGGATCGAACTGGCGCTGCAGAGGCTGCGGGCAGCTTCACAACCCAGCGCTCAACCGCTGCGCCACCGGGGAAGCCCTCTGTGTAATATTTCTAAAATTGCACACGAACAACAATTATTTCAAAATAAAAAGCTTTAAAAATTAAAATGAAACATCATTTATGATACTTATTCCAACAATAATCATTCGCTTATAGAAGTAATTCTCAATTAAATGTGATCCTGCTCCTCATGGAACATTTAGCAAGGTCTTGAGTGGTATAGGACAGGGATATCTACCTAATTATAATCACTACTTTAAAATCACAAGAATTCCACTATAGCAAAAAAATCATCCAACTCAATAAAATCTTAGTCAGGTTGATAAAACCCTGGCTTATAGCTAATAATCTTACAACATAAGGTAATGCCTTTTAATTAACTTGGGTGATAGGTAACAATTTTGAAAAGCAGATGTTTATGGATATCTTATTTTTATTCCTTTCATGGATATTTTTTATTTTTAAAAATAACTTTTGTGACAGTTTGGTACTACTTAAAAAACACTTCATGAATCAGAAGGAGAAAAGAAATACCAAATTATTTCACTCATGTGTAGGATATAAGAAACAAAGTAAAGGAATAGACAAAGACAAAACAAGTCCTTGAGGTCTGACTTGAATCAGAACTACCAGAAAAAAAGGGCAGGGGGTGAAAGGCAAAGTGGGGAGGGATCCTAACAGATCGTGGTGGAGGATTACTGGGGCTTTGGTGATGGGCGTGGTATGATAATATACACTTTTAGAAACGTGGACTTACACTCCCAAATCATATACTGTGTTTTAAATCAGTGTTATCTCAATAAAAATACTTAAAAAAATTTTGTTAGGTTCAAACCATGCATGCTCTTTAACATGTTCCCAAACTGAACTTTGGTATCTCACTTATTCATTCAAATTTATTTTAAAGCTCAAAATGATCGCTTGGTCAGAAGGCATGCCCTGAGCCCACCTCTTTGTGGAGGTGGGTTGACTTTCTTATATTTCTTTGTTAGGCTACTCAGTGATCATAAGGGGAGCCAGTCATATTCCATTTTTTAGAGTTGTTATAGTATTTTATTGTGCACTTAAAACAGTTATACTTTAAAAAATTGGTAACCTACATGACTTTGAAAATTAATACTTATCAAAAGCTTGACAGAAAGAATAATTTTTGAGAATTATAAGTAGCCTACTCATTCCTTTCCATGTAATTGAATCTATCCCTATATAAAAATAGGCTATGGAAAAATGTATTTCGGCTATATATGGGCTACTTTCTCTGATCTCATTTTAATTCAATAAGTATTTACTTGCCAGACACTGTACTCAGTATTCGGGATGTAGGAATCAACCAAAACATAAATTCCTTGCACTCAGGGGATTTGCATTCTAGGGCAAGGTGTATCAATTAGTTATTGCTATTTAATAAACCACCCCCAAATTAACTGTCTTAAAAACAATCTTTATTTTTAGAGTTTTCCAAGCATATGGCTTAGAGGTAACGTAAGTAGGTCAGTTGGAGCGACTGGGGCCATTCTGGTGACTTGGCACTGGCCCATGTATTGCTCATCCTCTTGGAGCCTAGTCTAGGCGTGTTCACATTGCAGTGGCCATAAGAAAGAGAGCAAGCCCTATTGTGCAAGTGCTTTTCAAACTCTGCTCGCATCACATCTAATAATATCTCATTGGCCTTAGCAAGTCGCACAACTAAAGGTGGAGTCAAAGGATGGAACTAAACACCCACCCACAATGTAAGAATCACCCAATGTTAAATGACAAGCTACAGAGATGGGTACAATAATGGTGCCAGTATTGAAATTATTACAGAGGGAGACAGAAAGTAAACATTATGAGAGCTTTATAGTAGAAAAATAGTAGAAAAATAGAGTATGGAGATTACAACAAGGAGTAGAGGGATCCTATTTTTAATAATATGGTCAAGGAAAGCCTCTTTATTAGAGAATATTGGAAGAGAGACATTAATGTGAGCAGGCATTACTTAGGGAATTTGAAACTATAAAAAAAATAAAGAATGAATGAAATAAGGGAATAAACAAGAGCAAAAAGAAGAGGGAGACAGAGTGGGGTAGGGACAAAGAGGGGAGGGGACCCAATGGTATATGGTAAAGGAATATGGGTGCTCTGGGGTGGGTGGATTATAGTGAGGCACACCTGATGAGGTGTGATCTTATTCCCTAGAATGATATACAGTAACATCAAACAATGTTACGGCAAATAAATAAATTTTTTTTAAAAAAGCTGGGAACTACCAAAAAAAAAAAATAGTGAAAAAAGGGCTCAATAGGAAACTATGGACATCTATTCCCATCAGCCCATAAGATTGTTTGGTCATTTTAAGCATTTACTTAATGTGTCTTCAAGATTGAAAAGATAGAGCCTCCCCGGTGGCGCATCGGTTGAGCTCTTGGTTGGGAAGCTGCCAGCAGCCTCTGCAGTGCCAGTTCGATCCCTGGCTGCTCCCCGGCCACCGGAGGAGGATCCCCCATGGCGCGCAGACCTCTCCTGCCGCCCGCTGCTCCCCTCAGCAGTGTACCTCGGTCCTTCTGCCTGCTCTGCTCCCCGCTCTGGCTCTGGTGAATTCTCTCACCTTCCCGCGCTTCTGACTGTACCCAGTGCTTGTATAAATAAATAAATAAATCTTTTAAAAAAAAAAAAAGATTGAAAAGATATACAAACTTCACTTACTGCTCACAATGTTTACATGACCTCTAGCCTGATGATAACATCATCATTTCAACTTTAGGCCATCATCTGTTTGCCTTTTCATACCAAAGGTATTGATGAATTTTATACAATTAGGGAAAAAGTCAATAGTTCATACTGGGGATAGCCTAGCCACTAAAAGATACATGGTAATTATATACCTAAATCATTTTTTGAACATCCTGAAAAACTAGCTCAATTGTTTGACAGAACCAATAAGTAGAATTAAATCTTTACTTAGGAATTGATACAATTACAATCAATGTTGTACAATCAATACAACATTTGTATTCAATAATATGAAACTTCAATAAGTTATCTTTTTTAAAAAGATATGAATCTGTATGAAAAGAAAAAGCTCAATGTGTCATAATGCTCAAATGGGAGAAAAAACAACTGAGTAGTTAGGAATAAGTGGCTAAAAATGTCATAAATGAATTACTGATTTTAGTTGTTGCCAGAATTACTGACCTTAGTTGAAAAGAGCTTTAAGATTTAATTTAGAAAATATTTAAGAATTGAAGTATAACCACGATGACTTAAAAAGAAATTTTGTTTAAAAATGTATTGCTTCAATTTAGAAAAAGTTTATGTCAAAAATTTCACTAGATGGTGCTGTTTTAATTTCCTTTAAAGGAAAACTGAAGACATTTGACTCAGTAGCTGTTGCCTGATTCAACTAATTTAATGTTAACAAAACCAAATTAGTATGTCTGACTCAGAATGTCCTTGGATATAAAAAGCCGAGTGTATAATCTAGGAACAGTATATATGTGATAATTGATGAAACTGCTTTTATTAGCAGTAGAGAAACATCATGATTACTTCTAAGGAGGAAATTCTGAGAATATTATACGTACGTTCTGAAAAATAAGGTTTTATAAGATGTGGATGTTGGAAAATCTTAGACATCATATTTTCCTTAATAAATAATAATTGTTGAATTAAACTAAATATTTTACATGAGAACACTACTTGCGCATATGCAGCTGAAATGTGTCTTTTTGTGTTATTAAATTCTGTTTTCCTTTTGTGACAGCATATGAATTATACAAATATGTATGAATATGTGTATGTATATATATTACACAAGCCATCTCTACATGACATAATCATTCTTTATTATCAAAGCATATTATAACTTCCATATCACATCTCTATGTGGGCACTTGTGTACAGAAAGGGGGCGAAGAGGTGTATTTTCACATAACCTCCTATACATGCTTATGATATTAGAATAGTATGTCTTGTCAAGATTTATAGATATATATACACCCAGAAAACAGCTTTATATATAGTTTATTAAGTACTTATTTACAGATTAGTTTGTTTCCCATTAAGTAGTTGTTAAATAAAGAATGCAAAGACAAACTGCTTAAAGCAGCAAGAGACTATGTAGATGACTGGTTTATTTATGGATTAGTTAAGATTCTTAACAAAAATGATGTTATGGGCCTTCCCGGTGGCGCAGTGTTTGAGCGCTGGGTTGCGAAGATGCCCGCAGCCTCTGTAGTGCCAGTTCGATCCCTGGCTCCTCCCCAGCCATCGGAGGAGGGTCCCACATGGCGCGCAGACCTCTCCTGCCACCTGCTGCTCCCCTCAGCAGTGTGCTTCGGTCCTTCTGCCTGCTCTGCTCCCCGCTCTGGCTCTGGTGAATTCTCTCACCCTCCCGCGCTTCTGACTGTACCCAGTGCTTGTATAAATAAATAAATAAATAAATAAATCTTTTTTTTTTTAAATGATGTTATATTTTGATGATAAAAGCATATACTAGAACAAGAAGAGCTTAAATACTGTAAAAATATAAAAAATAATGTGGACATTTGAGTAAATGAACCCCTACAGTAAATCTATTTTAATATTAACTGTGTGCATTTAAGTACCTGTAGGTGTTGACATAAACTTCATCTTCTAAATAAAAGCACACATACCTTCATATTTGCTAGTAACCCATTTAGTTATTGAAACCTATACTTTTTTAATGGTTTTGACTAGACATTTCCAGGCAGGTAAATCTAAAGTCCTTGCAAGTATTGCTAATAGCTAAATTTGATTGTTTTCTTAGTTTTTATCTGGCTTGATATCTTTACAATTTTGATATTATTGACCACCACTTCTTCCTACTAATGTCTCTAGGATTTATGAGTCACCCACTCTAGGTCACTGGCTTCTGTCCTAGGCCTCACTTATTCCATTCGGCTCTTCCCTAAATGAGAATGTTCCTCCACCGTTCCACCCTTTGTCTTCTGATTTTCTTCCTCTACATTCCTTCACTCCTAAGTGTAACCTACACATTGAATATCAATAATTGCTCTGTATAGGTAGCTCTCAAATGTCCATCTTTGTCCTGGATTCTCACTGGAATCTCATTTCTTAACCTCTAGCTATTGCTAGACAAATTATAATGAGTCCTGGAGATTTTCCCCTAGATTTTAAATCTCACAGAGCATGGTAAATACTGAACTCCTCATCATCTCCTATGAAATGAATGACTTGTTTTCACATTCCAGTTACTGTGAATGACAGTGTTGGTATTACTTTATTAATCTCCTCCACTACAGTTTCTATGGTTCGTAAATTCCACCTTGATAATTTCCATTTCATCTATTCCTTTCAATTGTGGTGACCTAGTTATGGTCCAAAATTACTTCTTGCCTCAGTCTTAACACTGGTTCCCTGGCTTTTCTAACTCTGGATTTCACCTCCCACTTTTACCTCCTAACCTGGCAAGTGCTTATCTGTAGGTTTCAGTTTATTTGCATTAACAAATACAGTAGGTAGCAAGGCAGAGTGGCAGGGGTCAGTGTTAGAACCACACATTGCGGTAGTCCAGGCTTTGGGGAAGAGCGTGACAAAAACACCAGCACACACAGGGTCATATAAACTTCAGTCCTGTCAATCATTCACAGAGGGAGGAAAGGGAATAGAAGCAGGATATTGAGAGAGTTGTTAATATTCCAAAATCCAGATAGGCAGAGAGTTTATATCAGGGACGTCTTTCAAAGCCTCTGTAAATGTAGATTGACTCAGGAATGGGAGTCTGAACTGAAACACACAGAGGGGTGGTGGTATCAGTGGACTCAGCTTGTACCAATCTGCCTAGCCCCACTGCCCTTATGCCACAAGATGATTAAAAAGACTCTCAGTACTGCAGAGGGAAAACCTGTCTTCTGTATCCTTCCCCTTGACCCACCTCACACTTCATTGCCTGACCTATTCTGGATTATCTCAGACCTTGATCCCTGGGCTCATTACCTATTTATAGACTGGCATTTGCTGCCACTCCTGACACTTAATCTGCTCTCTGACGCTGAGCTGGCTTCTCTTCTCACCCACATTTGGCATTTATTCTTTTTGAAGATACTACTTTCCTTTTGTAGCCAAACATCTCCCTTGGAACAGAATCAACTGCAGGTCCTGACTTGGTTTCCCCCTTAGAAAGAGACACATGCAGAGCTATTAATTAGATGTAAATTTGTAAGTACTGCCCTGAAAATTAGAAGAGAGTCCCAAGGTATGGCAGAGGTAGTTATTGAAGGAAGAGGCTATATCCCCAAGGATTGAGTGAAAAGGAATAGATTTGGGAGTGTATAAGAGGCACATAGGGCTGAAACTCAGACCTTCCAAGAGGACGGTTGCTGGGCTGGTGCCCTTGCCTTTGAGTTCTAAGAGGCAAACTTTAGAAGGTGGACCATGAAATTGGTTCTGATGTCACTGATATGTTGAGATAATGCTGATTTTGTAAGTGTTGCAGAAATGCAAGTCAGTTTCAAGCTCTGCTATTGAACTGCTGCTGTCTGAGTGAAGAAGGGTTTCAGAGGTGCTGTGCACTAGGAAAAGAAGTAGACAGGAAGCCCCAGAGGGAACAAATTGAAAGGAGCAAGTCCCTTTTCCTTCTCTAGCCATGTTTAGCATTCATTCTTGGCAGGGCTTACCTGGAAGCCTGCTGTCTACCTGATTGTGCTTTGTAGATTGTGCTCTGGCATCAGAGAGTGGAAGATAAAATAGGGTAAGTTTGGAGCTGAGTAAAAATAATTCAATACCTGGTACATAGCCCTCTTCTGCCTTCCACAAATATGTGAGTGTCTAGCCTGTAGAACAATGAGCAAAACAAAATAATAATTTTTAAAAACATTTCCTCTAGAATAGCTCACATTATATCACAAACATTACAACGATGAGAGGTAGACGGACAAAAGTAAGTAAAAACACAGCATGTCAGGTGGTAAGTGCTCTTAAGAAAAATAAAGCAGGGTCAGGGATGATAGTGCAGAGGGGTGGAGAGGGCAGATATCAATTTTAACCAGTGTGTTCAGGGAAAGACTGAGAAGATAACATGGGAGCAAAAACTGAGGGAGCAAGTCAAGCAAACATCCAAAGGAAAAAGCATTCTAGATAAGGGTAGGGTGGAGGGGCAGGCCATTATGTAGGGCCTTATCTGCCAGACTGAGGACTATGGCCTCACTGGGATGACACTGGCAGCTCATTTGCAGATTTGGGGCCCAGAAGTGACATGATCTGAGTTATGATTTTGAAGGATCCCTTTGGGCACTCTTTTGAGATTAGGCCGTCCTCCCTGAATTCACCTCAGTCCTGCCAATAGTCTATTGTCTAGAGTCTTGTATTCCCCATGCGTCATTTTTCTCTCTGCACCTGCCAGTCATGTCTGCAGTGGTAGGTCCCCACCAAGGTTCTGATGCCTCTTCTCCAGGTACTGCAACTTCTACAATCACAGCTTCTGTTTTTTTTGGGTGTTTGTTTGTTTGATCTTCTAAATAGTCTCTCTAAGTCAGTCATGGTAAATTAACTTACTTCTCTGGAGATATGTTGTAAGACAGCAAAATTTGCTCACCTAAAATATGTATTTTTAGCAGGAGGATTATTTTCAGCTGATTATATGAAACAGAAGGCTCAAGAAGTTTTTCCTTTTACCTCCCCTTAAATGCCTGAAAGGACTTAGACTTAGTGTGATAATTTTTATGTAGTATAAACAGGTGTTTACTTATAATAATATATAAATATATATGCAACCTTTGAATGTTAAAAATTAATGTCACCTTAAGTTAAAAAAAAAAAAAGCCAATGTCTTCACACCAGTCTCTATGTTACCTTGTGTCTGGCTAACTCAAGGACTTCTTACAAAAAATAAAACAACTTAAATAGAAGGCATGTTCCAGGGAAAGCTTCCACAGGAGCTAACATAAATCTAAGCTAGACTGAGGCGGGGGTGGAATTTAGCAAGGCTTGTTTCTTCAAAATCCTCTTTTGTTTCTGTCTCTTCATAGCACAGCAACCATTTGTTTACCAAACATTTACTCTTCCCATATTTCTGTAATTGTCTTCCTTTGAAATCCTAGGATCCTCACCTCTGCTTTCCCCTAGTTTAGGAGGGCATATAATCCTCATTTGACTGACTCTTGGGGATTGTTGTACATTCAAGAATTTTTTTTTTTTCAGACTTCAGAGTTGTTTTTAAATTGCATTTTTTTTTTTTTTGGCAGTAACTTTGGTTTACAACACCATATATGATCCAGAGGTACAGGTTCATTCCTCTTCAGATATTTGTCACCACACCATACTACCACCCAGGTACCCATAATCCTCCACCTAGTCCACTGGGACTCCTCCACACTCTGCTCCCTATATCCCCTTCCCCTACTGGTAGCCTCAGATTTCTAGGATTTGCTTTGATTTGGTTTTATCTGTTCCTTTGTTTTGATTTTCTATATCCCATATATGAGTGAAATCATCTGGTATTTGTCTTTTTACTTCTGACTTACTTAGTATAATCCCATCCATGTTTTCACCAATGGCAAAATTTCACTTTTTTTAAATAGCTGAGTAGTCTATTGTGTATATATATATTATATCTTCTTAATCCACTCATGTGTCTTTGGGTACTTAGGTTGTTTCCATAATTTAGCTGTTGTAAATTATGCTGCAATAAACATAGGAATGCAAATATTCCTTCAAATTAGTGATTTGCACTAATAGATACCTAGGAGAGAGATTGTTAGATCGTACGGTAGATTTATTTTTATTATTCTAAGAGATCTCCATATTCTTTTCCATGGAGGACTGACCAGTCTGTATCCCCGCTAACAGTGCACAGAGTTCCTTTTCTCCACATCTGCACCAACAGTTGTTCTTTCTGGTCTTTTTGGGTGGGCCATTCTCACAGATATAAAGTGCTATCTCATTGTGGTTTTCATTTTCAATTCCCTGAGCATTTTTTTTTTTTATGTGCTTGCTGGCCATCTGTATGTTTTCTTTGGGAAAGTGTTTCTTTAGCTCTTCTGCTCATTTTCTTTGATTGGGTTATTTGTTTTCTTTATGTTGAGTTGTATTTTTCTGCTGTTAATCTGTCCTTTTTTACAGAGTGTGTCTCAGCCAAGCACCCCTACAATATTCAGTCTTGTGAGAGTTAGGGTGGCTTCATACCCAACATTTTTTCATTTTTTCAACAAATATGTATAGAAAACCTATTTTTTTAAAAGAGCTTATGTAGCTACTGAGAATAAAACAGTATGCTCTACTAGTGCATGAATGATCCAGTTGCTACACATCCTCACCAGTATTTGGTGTTATCCTTTATTTTTTTTTTTAGCTATTCTGATAGCTCATTTGTAATTTTAATTTTTATTTCCCCAATGGCTAATGATTTTGAACATATTGTCATGTATTTACTTACTGTCTGTATATCCTCCTGAGGATATGACTTGACTGTTCATGTCTTTTGACAGACTTTTGAGTGTTCACATGCATTTCTATACCACCACCAAGGTTGTGACCTTGCTGTCTGTGCTAGGAAGAGCAATTTACCCAAGTGCATTATAAAAGCACTATAAAAATATACAGTGTAATACATTTTTGACATATCCCTCTTCACCAGGTTAGAGGAACAAATTAAGATTTACATCTTCTTTTTTAATGTTTCTGGTGTACAGCATATAGTTGTGTAGTGAAATTCAATTTTCCTTTGCTGAGAATCTCCAAAACTGATTTTTTTTGCACTTACTATGACTAAGAGAACTTTCACTATACTTGGTTTGTAGTAATCTTACTTTATATAAATAATTTAAATGTTTTTGGAAAAAGACCCATCACTGTAAAAAAATAAATTTGAAATAACATAGAAAACACATTATCAAAAGTCTCTCGACCTGGAGATAATCACTGTTAACCTTTGGTGAGCATACTTGTAGATTTCTATCTGTAGATATATTCTTTGCACAAGTAATTTACACTGGAAACACCAAGGGTGGAGATGCACCAGCTGCTGTTGCAGAAGCATAAACAGGTCCTACCGACTGTACATTTTTGAAAAATAGAACTTTATTAAATCAATAAAATTAAATAGGTCCACAATTTATATAATTGTTAATACATTATTCTGTACCCTTGTTTCTCACAAAAGCATGTTACTGACTTTATTCCATAGGATAGGAAGTCACAGGTCTTTATTATTTAAAATTCAGCACAGTAACCTATTGTGTGTATGCATATATGTGTATAAGTGTTGGTGTGTTTACTTAACCAGCTTCCCTATTAATGGATATTTAAATTGTTTCCAGTTTTTTGCTATTATTAACAATATTTTAATAAATGTTCTTAGCTTTTTGAATTTTTATAATTATTTTCTTAGTGTTAACCTCTCTAGAAGCGGAATTACCAAGTCAAAGACGTACATATGAATATATAATTATGTATGAACATATATAAATATATATGAATATGAATATATAATTATATTGTTTGTTGACAGGCTGCCTTTCAGCCTTTCAGAAAAGATTTGTGTCAAGTTACATTTCCCCTGCACTGCCTGAGTGAGATTCTTGTAAGTTTCTTAAACTTTTGCTTGTGTCTCCCTTCCATCACAGTTCTCTTTCTCTTACCTTTACTTTAAGTGGATTTTACCACATACAGCCAAATAACTTTGTATTTTTATCATTTATAAACCATTAACTGAGATAGCACAGAGCTTTGAGAGGGTATCAGTTAAAGCTATCTTGTAAAATGGTCATCTAGACCTGTTCTTTCAGGGCACTTTTATGGAAAGTCGTATGGTTCATTGACTTTGTTACTATGGAGAGTGATAGGACATCAAATCAAAGACATTTACTTGTGGACAAAGGAATTAATATTAGTAGACAAAATACTCAAGATTACTGACAGTGTGCCAAAACTTCAAAGATGGAAAGCTGTGACAAGTAAATTAAGTATAATTAGAGATTATTATAAATTTGATTGATCTTGCAGTTTGGGGTCAGTTGAAAGCTTTTTTTCTTTTTTTATTTGATCAAACAGTGACGTACAGCATTTACATTATGATCTAGGAAAAAACACCTTACACTGACATTCTCAATGTTTTTGGTAGTCCTTGGGCTTAGTTCTCAAGGCCCAGCAGATAGCTGGTTTAATGAGTGTACTTATCCATTACATGATAACATTAATCTTTTGCTTACAAACTTCCTGAGATGGAGTAACACTGGGACTGAACATGAAATAGTAATTGGGAAACATGTTCATAGTATAGCCCCCAACACTAGATAAGAATTCGTTTACAATATGCCTCTTACATATTTAGAATACGTTTTCAGCAGAATTTTTTCGTTGATATCTTTAGCCTTTAAATACTTATAACACTAATTTGTCAGCAGCGCATTCTCCCTCCTCCGATTCCACAGGATTTTCTTGGATTGTAGGAAACTAGTATGAAGTGTTTGCAAGATACTTAATATTTTCTTTTTTTGAAGTGAGTTCTGGAAGTTTATGTACATTAACTATATGGTGAGCAATGGGATTTTGTAACTACTGTATATTTGACTTCTTATTAATACAGTGCAATAACAAGATACCTCATTATATAAGGCTTTCCTATTTTCTGGGCATTTTAGCCTGTATTGTTGATAGTTGCCCCATACAGGTATTCTGTGATAGATATCCAATGTCTAGCCAAATGCAAGGAAAACTGGTAGGATGGTGGAGTGGAGTCAGTCAGACGTACAGGCTCCAGCTGTTTCTACAGAACATTATTACGTAACCTTGGGAAATCCTTAACATCTTGGCTTCACTATCTTTAAGAAAAAGATTCTGAATTGGTAACCTAATAAAGCTCCTTCAAATTTGAAAATAAATGAAAGTAATTTTTAAACCCACGTAAAATAAGATTTTACAGTTTTTGCCAGACATTCTATTTGCAGAATCAAGTCATAAACCTTACAAAATTTGTGTGACTACGAACGAAAAGTATTGTATTTTAACATGATACAGGAACTAGCAGAAAGGCATTATTTGCCTTGCAAAGGGAAAAAGTTGAAAGTACACCCCCACACCCCAGATCCTTCAGAAGGTGATTATAGTTCTCCAAACTTCACATAGTGTCTCCGTGAAGTAAGACCTTTGGACCTATTTCTACATGAGGCCAAACTGGGTGGGGAGGGAGCTGAAAGAGCTACAATTTTTATTTATTTTAGGTTAGTCATTCGGTGAAGGGGGTTAACCGCCTGCAGTATGTCGTGGAGAGCGCTCAGCACTTTCCGGACCGGTTCACTAACTGAAGGGGAAGGGACAGACACTATGGGATATGAAAGGTAGCTCAGTGTATATAACTAGACCAAGAAAAAGGGTGTATCTCAGCTGCAGCTAAGGGGGCTCGTGGAACTGCAATCCCTAGTTTACTCTTTATTTCCCCCGCAGGATTTGCAGCGGGGAAAGTGAAGTCACCCCACCCGCAGGTAGTGCGTCCTCACCTTGCGCTTAGTGGGCCGGCCGGGTCAGTCACAGCATCCAGACAAGACACCCAGGCCGGCAAGACCCACGAAGCTGACAATGCCTAGGTTTCTACCTCGAACCCCATAATAATATAGGGAGCTGCTTCCTGCGACACCCCTCCCGACGCCTCCCTCCTAACAGCAGAAGGGATGGAACCCGCCCACGCGTCAAGCAGGCACTGGACTTCCAGACCCGCGTGGGGTGGTGAGCTTCCCCTCAGCCGAGACAGGGGCGTTCCAGGCTGGGCGTAACCGCCGCGCCCAAGCAGCGCCCGCCCCAACCCCGGCACCAGTCCCGACCCTGGACGGCCGGTGGGGGCGTGGCCGGAAAAAATCAGGCCGCTCCCCACACAGTCCCGTTGCCAGGCGATGGGGCGGGAGGCGGGGCCGGCCGGAAAAAGGAGCGGCGTTGGGGGCGGAGCCCGCGCAGCCGCCCTTGTCCCCTCCCCGCTTTGCGCGCCCCGGTTGGCGCCGCGCTCCGCCTCCACCCTCCGCCCCGGCTGCGCACGCGTGGCTCGCGGCGGGGCAGCGCGTCCGGCACAGGGGGCGCGCCAGTCACGGCCACCTCGGAGCCGGTGAACCGAGCGGTCTCGAGGGAAGGGCGAGGCAGGGAGACGAAGGAAGGAGGTCCGCGGGGAGCGGCCGCCCAGCCCCCCGCGGCGGAGCAAAATGGTGTTCGAGTCGGTGGTCGTGGACGTGTTGAACCGGTTCTTGGGGGACTATGTGGTGAACCTGGACAAGTCCCAGCTCTCTCTGGGCATCTGGGGAGGTAACGAGACGCGCTGTCCCTCGCTCTGGTCCCCGGCCCGGCCGAGCCTTCTTAGGGCCTCGGGCTCCGGGAACGCCGGGAGCCGCCACCTGCCGCTGCTTTCTTGGGGGTCAAATGACGTAAAACTCCCGGCAGTTCCGGGGCTACTGCCGGCGAGTTTAAATTTGGGGGCAGGAGTCGGAGGGGTCCGACTGAGCTGAGCGCCTGAGGGGACGCGGTGGGCGCTCAGGTGGGCGCTCAGGTGGGCGCTCAGGTGCTGGAGTTCAAATCCCGACCAGGTGCCCTTTCCTGCCCCGCGCCGTCCGTCCGGCTGAGTGGGCGCGGGGGGCGACGGGGCGCACCCCCGCGCGGGTGCCAGGCCTTGGCAGTCCCCTCCTCGGGCTGTGACGGAGCCCGGAGAGCCCCGGCGCGGTCGCACGCTGCCGCGCACGTGAAGCCCGGGCGCTAGGACCGGAGACGCCCTCGGTTTCCTCCCCGCAGCCTCCTGGGGTGGCCAACCCCGGGGCGCTCTGGTCTCCCCTCTTCGGGCCTCGCCCCGGGACTCCGGGCTGCTGGCCTGAGTTCGCTGATAACAACATGGGAAGCTCGCGTGCAGATCAATTCAAACGGTCGGTTGTGTGATTTCACTTTACAACTTAGGGCCTGTGAGACGGATTTAATGGGTCAGCACGAATGACTTGAATATTTTGAGAAACTCGCTGCGCTGTGCAGCCGACGTCTCAGCCCTGCCAAAGGCCGGGAGGAGTGTGCACTTAAAGGTTGCTTAGATGCTGACCGAAGCTTTACTTTGTGTCGTTGACGCTGGTGTAGCTTTTTTTTTTTTTTTTGAGCCTCATTTTTTCAGTGCTTCCACCTGTTTGTTTTTTAAATACCTTCATTTGAAACACCGGTTAGAAATTAGTTCTTTTCTTGAAACGAATCTCCCTGGGCCAAAGTGAGGGTTAATTTTTTTGTAAACAGTATGTGTGTGTGTGTGTGTGTGTGTGTATATATATATATATATATATATATATATATATATATAAACTATTCTTTTGAATATATGCTTTCAGCCTTCTAAAATGCTTGATGTTTCTTTTCTGAAAGTGTTAATTGGCAATTTAGTTTGAAACTTGAGCTTGTTAGTATCTAGCGCCTAGGTGGAGAGTCTGCAGGAACTGGAGATACCTGTGCTAGTTCACCATCTCTCATTAATACCAGAAACTTGCATGTTGTTCAGTCTGTACTGTTTCTTACTTGGAAAGTGAACATAATAACACTTGTTAACACCTATCTCAAAAGGAGGTCATGTTTTGGGTGTGCTTTGATCTGTAGCGGAAGGTTCTTTGTACATTTGAGGTAGAGGTTTGTATGGAGTGTAAATCAACGGATTTGTTTAAAATTTACATATAGTAAAATTGTGATATACAGTTTAGTCGTGACAAATGCAAAAAAAAAAAAAATGCAAAAAGGCATGTACCCACCATCACAATCATGATTCAGAAGAGTTCCATCAAGACCCCCGAATTCCCACTGCTGGTCCTGTTGTAGTCCCACCCAATCAGCAACCACTAAATCTGTTTCCAGTCTCCAAGGTTTTGCCTTTTTCATTTATACTCTAAAGATTGTATGGTATGCAGCTTTTGGGGCCTACTCTCTTTTACTTCACTCCTTTCACTTATACAAAAGGCAAGGCATTTGAGAGTCATCCATGTCTTGTGTCCAACAGTATTTCATGCCTGTATTTTTGGTAGTGTGTTATTATATGGTTACTATAAATGTTTATCTGCTCACTGGATGAAGGACATTTCAGTTTTTATTGATAATAAATAGAGCTGCTATAAACACTTATTACAGGGTTTTTTGTGAATGAATTTTTATTTCTCTTGGGTAAACACTGAAAAGTGGGATTGCACAGTCATATGTTAAGAGAATATGTGAGACTTCAGGACTGCTTTTCACAGTGGTCATAGCATTTTGTCATTGCATGAGCATTTCATGAGAGTTGAGTTTGTTCTGAGCCCTCATTAGTACTTAGTATTTTCATTGAGATGACTAAAAAGCCTTTCTAACAAGCATGTGGTAAATATTATGGTTTGAATTTGCATATTCTTGGTGATTAAAGATGTTGAGCATCTTCATGATTTTTTTTGCTATTTGTATTATATTTTCACTTGTGAAGTGTGTTCAAATCCTGTGCTCATTTTACATTGTTTTTTCCCTTTTTATTCAAAAATTGTTAGTCACCCTTTTAAATTCTTAAATTTTTTTGAACAAGTTTTACTCATTTACCATTTATTTACAAAACTACTTTGGGGGAGTACAGCTTCACATCTATATGTGTATATGCTTCACTCACCCACCATCAGGGTGTCAGTGCCATAGACACTATCACATTTAACCTCACTCCCTTTCCTTCCTCCACTCTTCCCCTCTGGTAACCACCCTGTTTTTAGAGTCAGAGTTAATTTTGGTGTTTTGACAGTTTATCTTCTTTGGTTATTTATATTCCATAAATGAATGAAAAACCATTTAGTTACTGGGCTTCACTTTCTGACTTCACTTAGCATAATCACCTCAAGTTCCATCCGTGTAGCAGGAAGCAAGATTTCATTTTTTTTTTAAAAAGAGCTGAGCAATACACCATTGAGTGTGTGTATGTATGTGTATATATATATATACATACATACACACAATAATTACTTGATCCAGTTGTTAGTTAATGGGCATTTAGGTTGATTCCTTGTCGTGGCTATTATGAATAATTCTGCTCTGAACATAGAAGTTTGATGTCTTTTCATAATGCTTTTGTATTCTTCAGATAAGTATGAGTGCTTTTGCTGGGTCATATGGTATTGCTATTTTCAGTTTTTTAAGGAATTTCATTCATGTTTTCCATGGCAGCTGCACCAATTTACAGCCCCACCCAACAGTTTCTTTTTCTCGACAACCTCACTAATATTTGTTACAGACCATTCTCACAAATGTGAGGTGATATCTCATTGTGGTTTTGATTTGCATTTCTCTTAAAATAAGTGATGGTAAGCATTTTTTTCCCATTTTTTTTCATGTGCCTGTTGGCCATCTGTATGTCTTCTTTTGAGAAGTGCCTTTTTAGGACTTTTATCCATATTTTGATTGTGTTTGTCTTTTTGTTGCTGACTTATAGGAGTTCTTTTTACACGTTGGAAATTAACCCCTTGATAGATATCCATGTGCAAGTATCTTTTTGTGGTGATTTCTTTTGAGGTACAAGAATACTTTTAGTTGGATGTAGTTCCCTTTATTTTTGCTTTTGTTTCCCTCATTATAGAAGTTGAGTCCCCAAATATTTCTCTGAGGTTAATGTCTAGGAATGTATTGCCTATATTTTTTTTTATGTATTTTTATGGTTTCACATCTTAGCAAGTCTTTAATTTGAATTAATTTTTGTATTTGGTGTTAAGTAATGAGCTAGTTGGAAACAACTCACATATCCATGAACACATGAATGGGTAAACTGATTTATTCATCAATGAAATACTATCAATATTTAACTCTACATTCTTTTCACCTATCCATGCATTTAGCATTCATATTTATGTGTTATATAGAAGGAAATGCACAAGTTTTGCATGTACTTTGAAGGATTTATGTACAAATACATGTGTAGCACAAATCCTGTCAAGATATAGAACATGATCAACCCAGAAAATTCTTCCTGGCACTAGCCCATCCCTGCCCCCTATCCATAGAGCCATAGAGTCATTCAGTATTCTGTTGTTGTTTTTTTTTTTTTTTTTTTTTTTTTTTTTTAGAGGCATGTATTATTTATTTATTTGTTTGTTTGTTTTGTTTATACATGCACTGGGTACAGTCAGAAGCACGGGAAGGTGAGAGAATTCGCCAGAGCGGGGAGCAGAGCAGGCAGAAGGATCGAAGTACACTGCTGAGGGGAGCAGCGGGCGGCAGGAGAGGTCTGCGCGCCATGCGGGACCCTCCTCTGGTGGCCGGGGAGCAGCCGGGGATCGAACTGGCGCCGCAGAGGATGTGGGCAGCTTCGCAACCCAGCGCTCAACCGCTGCGCCACCGGGGAGGCCCTCTGTTGTTGTTTTTTTCCTCTAAAAAAAAAAAAATATGTACTTCTCCCTGGTTTGCTGATTTTTTTTTTAATATGTGTTGGACATTGTAAAATGATTTTGCTGAATCTGTTATAAGGATTTTTCTTAGCCTGTTGATGTAATGGATTACATTAATTGACTTTTGAATGTTGAACAAGCAATTTACATCTGGACTAAATCCCACTTGGTCATGCTATATAATTTTTATACTGTTGGATTAATTTTGCTGAGAATTTTTGCATTTATGTACATCAAAGACAGTGATCTATAGTTTTCCTTTCTTACAGTGTTGTTATCTGGTTTTGGTATCAGGGTAATGCTAACCTCACATGAGTTAGGTAGTCTTTCTGCTTCCATTTAAAAGATGGTAAGTGATTAGTATCATTTTTCTTAAATGTTTGGTGGACTCTTAGTAAAATCATCTGAGCATTATTCTTTTCATCTAAAAAGATAATTATTGATTTAATTTCTTTAAAATTAATAGATTCAGGGCTATTCAGATGAATACTTCTTCTTGTGTGAGTATTGATAGAATTTATCTTTCAAGGAATTGTAAAATTTGTGGGCATGTTAATGTTAATTTTTTTATATCTTGTTAATGTCTGTACCACTAGTAATGACGTGATGGTCTTTCCTTTCCTTTCTGGTATTAGTAATTTGTATCTCTTCCTTAGTTAATCTGGCTTAGAGAGTTACCAAGTTTTTTCCTCTTTCCAAAGAACCATCTTTTGTTTTCATTGATGTTTCTCTTTATTTTTCAAGACTGAATTTAATTGATTTCAGTTCTACTTCTTATTAGGATTTAATTTGCTTTTCTTTGTTAGATTTCTAAGGTGAAGGCTTAGATTATTGATTTTTAAGCATGTTTATTGAGGTAATACTGATTTATAACACTGTCTGTCAGGGGTATAGATTCATACC